CTGCTCCACCTTGTTTCAGACTCGTGACAACTTCTATAACCTCATTTTCAGTTAGATGATCGGTGTCTACATTCCAATGAGGGAGGTGTTGGATGCTCAGTAGGTTGAGCGTGGCTGTATATTATTATTATTATTGTTCCCTTGGGTTCCTAGTGGAACATAGGGCTTCAACTGCACACCTCCACTTGCTTCTGTCTTCTGCTGTACTTTTCACCTGCATCCATGTTAGTCCATACTGTTTCATCTCCTCCTCACACGATCTCCTCCATGTCACCCTTGGACGTCCCACTCGCCGCTTCCCTTTCTGGTTCCACTCGAGCAATGGCCTGACGCGCGATGTCACCCAACGGCCTCCTCAGCGAGTGTCCAATCCATCTCCACTTCCTCCTGCATATTTGTTGGGCGATTGGTTACTGTTTCGTTTGTTCCCATAGCTTCTTGTTTGTGATTCTTTCTGGCCATCTAATCTTCAGTATGGAGCGAAGACAGTTGTTGATAAAGGTCTGCAACCTGTTGAAAATATTCTTGGTGACCCGCCAAGTTTCTGATCCGTAAAGCAAAATTGACTTGACGTTTGTATTGAAAATCCGAATTTTGTTGTTGATGGTGAGTGACGAAGATTTCCAGATTGGTTTCAGGTTGATGAATGTGTTTCTCGCCTTCCCGATTCTCGATTTGACATCCTCGTCCGTTCCTCCTGTAGTTGAGACAATGCTCCCTAGATAAGTGAATGAAGTAACCTCTTTCAAATCCCTCCCGTTGATGGTGATTGGCACTGGATGTTGCTGCTGTTGTTGTTGTTGTTGGTTGGTTATTTTCATAACCTCCGTCTTGTCTATGTTCACCTGGAGTCCTGTCTTCTCTGGCTGCTTCTTCGACCAGTTTGTCGGTTTTCACTTGTAAGTCTTCGATCTTGTGTGACATCAGACATAAGTCATCTGCGAAATCCAGGTCTTCTGGGTTCTTCACGTCGGTCAAGGATATCCCTATCTTCTCGTCGTTTCTCACTGTCTGACGCATAATCCAGTCCACCACAATTAGGAATATCATTGGTGATAATAAGCACCCTTGTCTGACTCCTGGGTTTACTCCAAATGCCTCGCTGAGTTTTCCGTTGTGGATCACTTGACATGTGTCGTTGTCGTACAGTTGTTGAATAAGGTTGATGAATATTTGCGGTACGCCGAAGTACTCGAGTAGTTTCCAAATTACTTCGCGGTCAACGCTGTCGAAGGCCTTCTCAAAGTCTATCTCCTCAAAGTGTTTGCCACCTGTTTTCCTGATAAGTCTAAATAGTTGTCTGGTGTTATCTATCGCTGATGCCTTTTCCACTTCTTTCGCTTTTGTCGGCCACTACCGTTCACGGAGGTTGCGAAAATTTCAATTTAATTTGCGTTCAGGCAGCTTTTGTTCCTCATCATATTGGGAGCTCGCCAGAATCAGTCTTCTTGCGTTAATCCGTTACGATGAGGCGGTAGAAATCAAATAGCTTTTACTAACTTTTGGTTTTAGGTTATTGACAGCTTTTACAGCCATGTCTGCAGCTTACTGTATGTTGTGCCGAGCTGTTTCAGGAGCAGTCCTGCTGTAGAACTCAGATACACGTTTCGGTATTCCCTTCTTAAACAGGAACTGAGTTCTGGAACTAGTTGGTGGCGTAACTGCTTTGATGAGGAAACTCATTCAATAATTTGGTAAACGGAGATGCCAGAGTGCGTGACCATCAGATTTAAAGACAGCGCTCGGTTGACTGTACTACCAATTTACACTCCAAAGTGTGAGTTGATCAATTTGCGTCTTGTTGGGTATAACAGTAAAATTGGCGATAGGACATCTGCAATGACAAATAACCATTTGTAGGCATTCTGCAGACCAAAGTCACACATTCGCGTCCATATATAGTTATACTGGACCTGTTAACAGCTTGGAGCACGACTGTTGGACCAGGATGCTGATGATCCTGCGTAGTCGGAAGAAGAACACACAGTTCTGCTCCTGTGTCGACTAGGAGTATAGTACCAGTATTTTGATCTGCAACATAAAAGAAAGGACTGTTGGAATATAGATTACCGATGGCAGCATTTGTCAAACTTCAATGTATCCGTTGCTTTTGTTTCAAAATTGCAAGGAGGGCGGCAACATTGTGGAATGCTTCCATAATCGCGGTGGCACCTACAAATATTTTCACCATTTATGGACATGTTAGGTGACCTGGAATGACGTTGATGAGATGAGCTTCCAGAATGGTTAGCTCGTGTGCGTGTACTGCTTTTTGATAGCTGGCACAGTAAAGAATCGATTTTATGGTCTAAAGTCTTCATGCGGTCCTAAGTCTCCTGTATTTGGTCGGTGGAAGCGATGGTCTGAGGTGTTGACTTCTCAAACATGCGACTGGCGATTTCAGCAAGTTTATCTATATTAATGTCGCCATCCGCAAATGCATGGACTTTTTGGATGTTAACCGGTAGTCGTCGTAGCCAGATTTAATAAGTGAATCAATTTTCGCTCAGATCACGTATCTCAATACTGTCTGGATAATGGATTGATAGGACGCACTCGTTTATGTATTTGCGGTGCTTCAATGAGCCTGCAACCGTATTCGCAAGTTACTGGTGGATATATATTTAGACGAATGGAGTGTAGGAAACGAACACTTGCAAGTGACACTCTCAGTTAATTGTCTTCTAGGAAATTTCTTTGTGAAACCAAAACTTACTCTGACAAATGTACTGTTACTTTGCCATTGCTGGATTTTGAAGTCTGGAGTGAGCACAACCACCGATCAGACACAAAATACGTTGACGGCTACTGTGCAGTGGTTTCAGTTTTGTCAAGATTTAGCATCAAGGAAAATAAACAATATTACAAAAGTGTTGGGTGGAGTCGGTGTTATCGTTCAGATCGACGAAACAGTGCTTATAAAGAAGAAACACCATCGCGGACGTGCTAGAGTATCGCGAATTTAGGGCACCCAAATTCAGAAAGGATTCACTGAACTTATTCCAGACAAGAATGCCAACGCTGTTCTGCCCGTTATTGAAAGAATCACGCGAATGAATAGGCAGAATATAACCGATTATCGAATTTAGGATACATGCACAAACCAGTTAACCACTCCGATGATCTCGTCGATCCCAGAACAGGCAAACTATGATTTATTAGGTCACAACAGTGGTATGTAAGCACTGAAGTATACACCATTATTTATCTGGTTTAAATCATTTTGTTGAGTTCTTTAAGCATTGTTGAAACCATTTCGTGGTGTTGCAAAATACTCCCAATGCCTCTACTTAACAAGATGTGTCATCTGTGCTGTCCCATGTAACGGGTATATTTCAAAGAATAATGCCTTCTTGTGTATTTCATACGTTGATGCAATTTAAGCAAGCTGACGATGACATTATAAAGGTAACAACCAACTTGTCCATTGTTTCTTTAAAGGGAAGTTAGACACATCCCACAGGGTTGCTTCAAGTCGTAAGAATGACACAAGCGGCGCTGCGGCACATGATTATATGACGTATGAATACTCTTTTGGAGGTCATCGTGCTTCGTGGAATGTTTGATGTCTACCGATATATCCAGACGTTGGCTATCATGAGAGGAAATGATAGTTGTGCAACCGTTTACTGAAAAAAACACTGATGTCCATGTAATAATGGATTTAGCACATGAGATATTCGGCAAAGTTATCCTACATGAAGATATTAAGAAAATGCGAGCTGGGATAAATAAACGTATGTTTTATCAAAACAAATGTGCAGTAGAGTGGAAACAACTAGTTTACAAGACCTGCTTCATCGACTGAGGCAGACAGATTCAATTAGTGTTCTGCACGACAATGCATATTTCGTCTCAAAAGTCGTTTTCGCTAATGATGACATAATCGACCTCTATCATAAATTTCAAGTTGGAATTGATTGTAGTTATAAAACGAATAAGATAGGATAAGTGGCAATACAAGGTGGCAAAGTTTCTTCTCCAAATTTGTTAAAGATTGCCTATAAATCCCTTTTTTAATAATAATATTTTATTCACATAAATTAAGCATGTAAATGATTGACATACCGTTTGTACAGGCATAATCATAATTGACGAGTGCAATTTGAAATGGAATACTGTTTCATGACATTAAAAATTGAAAAGATGGGAAAAACCTCTAAAAAATTTACAGTTAAATTTTGATGTTTACTTTCAATTGAATAAGTTACAAGATATTGGTTTAAGTCTAAATTTTTACCTGCACACGGAGGAAAGAGGCTATAGTCAGTTTCAAGGTCATGATGAGTTCCTGCGTCGGCTGGTTATGTGTTTCCGTGAATTCGTTTTCCATTGAATTTTAAAGGTTTTTTGAATGTTTTACGCATTTTGCAGTGTGTGTGTCAGTTTTTGTCACTGGATGCTTCTATTAAGCTTATATTTAGCCTGAATTTCCCAGTTATTATGTTGGTAGTTAAAGATTATGGCAAATCTGCAATCATTGAGCCATTTCACGTATACTATTCTAATATACTAACATTATTTAATAAGTAAACTCCCTAACTGTTCGCCATTGTTTGACATGAAACTGTGCGCTGGTTTTCCAGCATGACTGGCACTAAATCAAACCTACTGGGTTTGCTTATTAGCGTTTTTCCAGCCTGACAAGACATATTAAGCATTGAATGCCGTTACTTCAGAGCGAAAAGATTCAATTCGGCACGCAGTTCTTATTAAGCACAACCAGTGGCATTTCAGAACACGGTAGGTAAATAAGACCGTAAAAAGGCATTATCGAGGAATAGGTTAGAATAAGTTTAGAATTGTTGTAAGCTTGGTGGTGCTGTGGTCTAAGTGATAAATCGTATTAATCAACATTATTCAGGATATGCTTAGAACCAGAAATGCTCGGCTGAAAAACGTAGTGAATAAGGCTCAGATCGGTGTAACTTATAGCTGACTGTAAAGCGCTGTCATCACGAAACCAACAACCAAAGTATGCTTTAGACTGCCGCTCTCAGGCATTTGAAGGGAAAGAAAGTGTAACAGCATTGTAGATATACATGTTTTTATTATGGATACAAATGGAAACAATAAGTTAGTACAAACATTTTCACAAGAATAATCGATTAACAGGGGCACGCCGTAATCTTAAAGTTGTTTGTGGATCATTTGTTAGCATATCGTCTAAATTTCTAATGACCTCGTCTATTTTCTGCAGTGTACCATTTGGATTTCTTTGGTTCAGACGGATGAGACGACATCTGAGACGTTCATAAGCATTTCGGAACGCGTTGTTTGGTTCAGGTGCTATGCGGATGGCTCGCGGAATGTTGTCCTCTGTGTTATATAGACGTGTCCACCTCTCACTATTTCTCAGAATATCTAAGAGTAACATTTAAAGAAATGGAACATACCACAGTTTAGATATGAGTTTAAGAACGCCTCAACGACATGTGCACATGGCAAATTGTATGCACAGTATGTCCAACATGTGCATTTCGCCTCATTTCTGTTTACGAAGAAGATGTGACTTCCTTCTGCGTAATTGACTGCGGTGGAAGATATTGAAAGAAAGAAGAACATGCGCCTTTGCAAGTCTAAGACAACTTTCTGGGCAGCAAACGGAGTGAGACACCGTAATTTAGACTGCAGTGAAGTTTGCACCTAGGAGAAATCGTAAATTATCTTGAAACTTACATCGTAATTGTAGTATTTACGAAGCATCCACTGGCCTTGATGTATTTTACGTATGGTTGTGTGGTCAATCCACCTCCATATTTTCCATAGTGTCAGTTCCAGCGGATCACCTTTACGTAAATACCTTTTCAACTGCCTATGAGCGTTCTCCACTCTGTTGTTAGTATTGTTCCCCATACTGATGGTGAACCGGTTGCATGATGCGGCCCAATATTTCCGTGTCCTTAGCCAGTACCTTCTAACGTAAGCACCAGCCTCGGCGTCTATAATACTTATGAGGTTGAGGTAATTCCAAAACCTTCGGCAATAAATTGTGATTTGTTAACCTACCTGTCATAACTGCGCGTGTGCGCCATTCGATACAACCATTTTTTAACACGTTGATTTGGGAACTGTTTTCGCTATGTTAGTTAATGGGAATGAAACTTACCCTCCTTCTGAATGCCTGGCATACATGGAAAAGACATAAAATAATGCTGCACCTGGGGAATTCCTCCTTTATAGCTTTGATCTGTGCAGTTGCACAGTCGACAGTGAATGTTTGTGTTTTCGATATATCACCCATAAATCCCTTAAACGTTTGCAATATCTCCTTCATATCTGCAAACCGTTCCCTCCTAGTAACAGCAAACAAAACAGTCCTTCCTCTTCCGAATCCATCAGTCACAACAAACTGATATAAAGGCCATCTGTAACAAATTTGGGGAAGGAATTAGACCCTTTTGTACTGCAACTTACCCCATCTTATTCGTTTTATAGGTAGAATCAATTCCAACTACTTCTGGAAACTTATGATAGAGGTCTATCATATCATTACGCGCGAAAATAATTTTCGATACAAAGTCTGCATTGTCCTGCAGAACACTAACTGGACCTGTCTGCCTCAGTCGATGAAGAAGGTCTTCTAAACTACCGATTTCTACTCTACTGTCCCATTTATTTTGATACGACTTACGTTTATTCATCATAGCTCGCATGTTTTTAATATCATTATACAGGAGCACTTTGCTGAATTTCTCATGCGCAAAATCCATGACTTCATGGACATCAGTGTTCCTTTCAATGAACGGTTGTACAACTGTCATTTCTTCAGATGATAGCCGACGTCTAGATACATCGGTGGACATGAAACTTGCTGTGCATGGATGGTTATGCACAGTTTGGTAATTTGTTATTTTGTATCCGTCGGATGTACGCCGTACCATAATTGTTGACTCACATGAAGTACTTTTGAACCTTAAAATTTTCAAAATTTACAAGCACAGTCGACTTACCCTCTGTTCCTAAAGCCAGCCCCTCGGGGAGCACGTATACATCCAAAAGTGCATTTAAATCACACAAACTTATATTCCATAGGATCGGATGAATCCTTTTTACTTGAATCAACCCGATAAGATGTGTTGGATTCCTTTCAAATAAATAATGAACAACTTAGTTAGTACCTTCATAAAATCGTTAAAAGCTTCCTTAAACTGTACCCACGTATAAAATACGCAGCAGAGCATTATTCTTCCGAATGTAGCTGTTACATCACACAATAGAGATGACACATTACGTGAAGTAGAGGCAGTAGGAGTATTTGACAACATCATTTAGTGGTTTCCTAACGAACACAACACAATGATTTCAGGTAAATGAACTATAGTATATATTTCAGTGCTTATATACCACTGTTGTGACCTAGTAAATTTAGCTGATTTATACTTACCTGTAAAGTACATATGACAGGCCACTGAACTGACAACTTAAAAGGTGTGCTAATTAAATACTCATTAAGTGTCTAGAAATTGCGGTTGAATCACATTCTTCTAGTAAGCGAAAATGCACACATCCTATTTCACACTTAAAATATGTGTATCAAAATTACCGTTGTCTCATATTCACTTACTTAACATTCTCAGACATCTCAATGAGTCATGTTCGTCTAGTAGGCAAAAATGCACATATCCTATTTTAGACTTAAAATAAATGTATCAATATATGTACTGTTGATTTATATTGACTTAATATACAATTTCAGATATCTTAATGTACCTTTATGTACCACTAATGCATCCAAATAGCCTGTGAATCATCACACTACACTCACACCCATAAAATTAACACGTGATTATATTATGGTAAAGTACGTTCAATTAAACTGCCTGTAAATTTCCGTGTCAAAATAACAAATTACCGCTTAATTTATATTTTAGACCAATAAGAAGCCAGTTAGCCAACAGCCAATAAAAATCTGCCTATATCGCTTTTCCACACGGAGTGTCGTTATGTGTTATCGCGATGTTGTGTTTGGGTTGTTCTACGTTGTTTTCAGGTATTTTTTCAACTGAAATACATCATAAATACTATTTTTTAACGAAAAAATGGTGGGAAGTAGACGTTTCCAGCAGTTTGAGTGTACATGTATCTGTCATAGAATTTCGTTGTTTCTCTGCATGTGGAATGTTAAAATTCTGTGTAAATTGTTGATTTATTACAGGAAACGACGAAGAGCACGGCAATTTTGGCTTGCAGGGAGACGCTTAAACTGAGAAACAGAGAATGCTGACGACTATAGAACCCCTACCATCGGCAACGACAGCCAACTTTAATAAAATGCTAGATATATATGAGGACTGTTTTGACTGGTATGGAAAAACCTCGGAGAGAACAAAACTGGTCCAACACCATATAGAAACAGGTAACGCCCTACCTTGTAGACAACCGGCATGGCGAGTACCTGCACATTATCAGAAGGAGCTTAATAGGTTGGTTGATGAACATTTAGAGAAAATTGTCATCAAACCACTCGTATTTCCTTGGGTTCTTCAGTAGTTTCTGTTAAGAAATCGAATGGGACACTCCGGTTATGTGTAAATTATAGTAAGTTGGACTTGTTTACTAGACGAGACTGCTTTCTCTCTCCACGCATAGACGACACTTTTGATGCTTTGAGGGGTCGAATTGGTTTACCACTCTAGATTTGGCATCGGGATATTGGCAGGTTAAATTTCACCCAGTTGGCAGGCAGAAAACAGCATTCATTGTACAAGCAGGCCTGTATGAGTCTGAAACAATGCCGTTAAGGTTAGTCAATGCCCCAGCAACATTTTAGCGCCTCATGCAAACGGTCTCGAGTGAGTGTATACCAGGTAAGTGTTTGGTATATATAGACGATGTTATCATACATAGTAAGACGACGACTTAACATTTGAGTGATATTTCCAAAGTATTAGAATGGATGCAGAACGTCGGTTTAAAACTGAACCAATCGAAATTCCAATTCTTCAGGAAAGAAGTGTGTTTCTTAGGTCACATTGTTTCAGCGGAAGGCATTAAATGTGATCCAGCAAAGTTCAGGAAGTTAGAGACTGGTCGCTCCCAAACTCAACCCCCGAGTTACATAGTTTTTTAGGGTTGACCTCGTAATATCGACGTCTTTTACTTAACGTTTCTTTCCTTGCAGCTCCTTTATTTGACATTCTTAAGTATATGTGCATCGAGAACGTCATTGTTTTCCATGGTAAGACTAATATGGTTAACATCATACATTGGAAATGTGTACTATCATGTCAAGTACTTATAGTTTCTTCTTGTATTTATCTTGTAAATATACTCCCAATAATGTATTATTCATAATTCCATTTTATATCATTTTTCAGTTACTCAAGATAAGGTTCACTCATTTACTTATAACCATGCAGATATTCTTTTTTCCAGTTTGTCATATTGGATAACTTCAGATGTGGCATAGAGTTCTGCGTACTTGTATTGTAGAAGAGTTTAAACATGACGCAATTTGGACATTGGGCAGTTTCCGTCGAATAATGGGAGATACTACACAAACGAAGACTTCCATCCCGAACTGTGCTCAGCCTATATATTTAAATAAACTTGTTTGCGTTGCAGTGAAATAAAAATTTTCATGTAATATTCTGGTGTTCTATTTGATATACTTGTGGTGGGAGTGTGGCATGCTAGACCGTTACTCCCTAGGATATGCACTCGTCACTATACGTAATTGTAATTCTGTACGAACAATATCGATCAGGATAAGTGATTAATTACCAGTGATTTAGTCAAGCCTAAACATCTGCCTAAAGTTACGCGTGTACGTCTCCTAGTCATAGATAAATCTGTAGGGATCAATTACAAAATAACCCTAGGCACTGCGCTGGAGTTGGATTTCATATAAGATCAACTGTATTCAAAAGTAGCGCAGTACTATTATTTCACTTAAAGCGTAATGTCAATCAGTATGATTGTACTGCAAAATGAAGATTACACGAGATGAATAATTGGGTAGACGGAGCTGTAGCAATCGTAGCAATATTTCGCTTACGTTGAATTGTGTTACTAATTAATTTCTCAAGTCTCATTGATAAGTCAAGCCTCCATCTTGTCATTATTACAAATTTAGTTTTACTCAGATAGAATAAGGAAAGTATATTAAGCAGGATGCTAGATATATTTAGGGAAAAATAACAACAAGCAAATATCTGTGCATAATTGTTTGTCGTAATTATTTCGGCGGTGTTGAGTTGCTGTGACCAGGTTGACTGACGTTACCCGACATCTGCAAATATGTTAATAAAGTGTATTTTTCAAATCACTGCAGTAAGGAAAGAAATAGAAGTTCAACGCTTTATATTTGGCTACCTTTGCTGAAAAACGTTCATTCTCCTTTCTCATTCTTTGGCCATGACAGCATTCTTCTGTGGTTTTCACTGTCACACACATTGTTCATCTTGTAAAGTATAGCCCTAAGAAAATAATAATTATTTTATGTAGTATAAATGGGTGTTTACGAGGAATGCATGCCATTTCTACGGGCACAATAAGTTACGTTATAAATCGCAATCGTGAAGTGTCATAAATTACTACTTTTTCAAAAGTTTGAATTGTTCGATAATTTTTCAAACAATGGGAACAGGCTATCAAAAATGTTAAATTGTAAATCCTTCAATCAGGTCACCATCAAAGTTGAGTGACAACCAAAACCTTGTTCCATTTTCTCATGATAGTTTTAGGCAAACAATGAACACCGTAGATTTGATTAAGTGCTATGCCCTCAAGTGATTAAAAGCTATTTTACTAGGAGAAAAACGTCCTGGGAAACTGCAAAATGGCATAAAATACAATAATGGATAATAAATCAATGAACGTACATCTAAAAGATATATACGACAAGGAGCTATAGATTCCTTGGAATGGTAGTATACATTTGCAATGTTTAATGCTAACTATATTGGTCTTATCACGGAAAGCATGTTGTTTCCGATGAAAATATAGCTTTCTTTTAGTATTTTTCACCAAAGAAACCAGACTTTAAACAAGCAGCAAATATGAACAAAAAGTAAGTTTTAGCTTTATTGAAGACCTAGGTATCTGAGATAAAATGGAGCACAAAAGTGCTCGAATGAAAAGATTATCGTGAGGTAAATAAGAGATACTTCAGTGGGAAGTGAATTAAAAGATTTAGAAGATTGGAACTCGTAAGACAAGCTTACCTGTTAGATCTCTCACGAATTTCTGTAGGGCCTATGGGGTAGTTTTGATATTTTGGCGTCATTTTGGACTTTGAAAGGTGGTTTACACATCTAAAAGATAGTAATTAAGGAAACTGGAGTAACGCTTTATATCTGTTCAGGTATATCCCATGACGCAGATTATCAACAATTTGCAGTATTCCTAGCGATTTTATAGGAAGCTTGATTTCCAGTTCCTATTCCTTAGCTGTCCAATCACGCGTAACAGCATGCAGTAACTACATATACTCAGGCATTGTAACCTGAACATCACAAATCCCTACAGATAACCTGTTGAATAATAAATGATTTAAAAATGAGTCATAAGTGCTGCTTCCTTAAACTTTACAGCCACAAGTAATTCATGAATGATTATTAGGACTGATATTACTTACATAACAGGTGTACCAGTGGTAGGATGCCACAGTCACAGGTAATTCATGAATGATTATAAGGACTGACATAACTTAAGTAACAGGTGTACCAGTGGTAGGATTCAGCCGCTAGCTACTATTTCAGAAGGACCATCCATAATATTATTCTTGTCCCAGTGCACACTGATATCAAGATAAGTTGATGCCATTTGATGCTCTCAGCGGTCTTCCAAAATTCCATGTGACAATGTAAATTCAGTCGGTATCACATCTTCTGCTGAGCAATTTTAATCATGAACTTCATCAAAATGGACATAATCACCATGAAATTCAGTCGCTTGTCTCATTCACCGTATGGTTTTTTCGATGTGTTATAGAAGACTTCACTCATCACGGATGAAAATAAGGATGGTTGAGCTCCTCAGAACGTACATCTAACTTATGTCTATGGA